GGGGGGGGCCAGGGGACCCAATGTGCAAATAAAGTAAAAACAAAATATCATCCTTTGTCTTCTGAATGCTTTCTCCCGCCCTCACCACTTAACTGCTGGTAACAAGGTTGAAGTGACTGTTTACACATGTCAAAAGCTAACAATATTTTTTTATCAAATTTTTCCAAAGGTTCTTCACTTTCTCATTTTGCTATAGGGCCCAAAGCAAAGAAATATGAAGGTTTAAGGTATTTTTGTAGTATAAGACATGAGAAAAAGCATAGATCAAACCTATGCTTATATAGAAATCATTACCTACACAAACCTGATACATTTAAGAAATCTAAAGCCAATCTTTAAATGATATATAGATAGTATGATATAATATTACATATAAATAATGTAATTGAATAAATTTAAACAATGTAAAAGATAAACTATAGCTTTTCAATGTAAAAGATAAACTATAGTATTTTTAAAGAATTTAATTCTGGCCCTCCCTGGTGGCGCAGCGGGTTAAAGCACTGCACTAAGAAGCTAAAGCCACTTGCACATGAGTTCGATCCCCGCCTGCCCCGGAGGTGACCACATGGAGTGGCGACCTCTCCTGACCCGCCCGCTGCTCCCCTCAGCAGTGTACTTCGTCGATCTGCCTGTTCTGCTCCCCACTCTGTCTCTGGTGAAGCCTCTCGTCCTCCGCATCTCTGGCCTGTACCCCAGTTCTGTATGAATAAAAAATAAATCTTTAAAAAAAAAAAAGAATTTAATTCTTGGAAAGCCATTCAATATGTTGACTATGTTAAAACACAAGCTATTGCCGAAGTCCAAAATGTAAGTAAAAATGGCTTATGTGTGTTTGAAGTAAAGGAAAGTAGCAAGAAAAACATGAACAGGCCCATTACTTTTAGGCTAGCCCAATCAAAAGCTAGGAAGAGAACGACTCTGAAGTGATCCTACTGAGTGGTTTACTCTAAGTAGAGAAAAATATTTGGAAAACTGAGGAAAGTAAAAATTCCTTTTCATTGTCATGAAATGTGAAGTCTTTTTTTTTTTAATAACTTGACTTGTTCAGCAGACATTAACACCACAATGCTCCCACTCTCTCTTTACTGACAAGATGCAATGCTAAAATAAATTACTTTCCTTTCTATTCCCACTACCACTGTTTAGTTCCAAAGAATATAGATTTATACAGAACTTCACTTATAGCATTATCATTCCAAGGACCCTCCCTGCCTCTAGTTATTTTTGCTCTGACATCACTAGACTCACTACCAGACTGACTTCTCGAAAGCACTGATGTGATTATGAACATGGACTTTGCCTGGGTTCAAATTCCAGTTTTTGTAATTTATAAGTTATGTGGCTTTGGACAAATAACTTCTCTATACTTCAGCTTCCTTATCTGTAGATATGCTAAATGGATAATAACTGTATGTAAAGTGAGTGAAAGAGAGCCTAGGAAACACTGCATGTCTCTATCTTCTACACATACACACACACATGGATATATGTGTGTATGTATATGTATGTGTGTGTATGTATATGTATGTGTGTGTATAGAGATTTATTATCTCTTGATTTTAAATGCCAGTTCTTTTTTGAAAACTAACCCTGCTCTCTGAATCTCTTCCTGATAGTTGCCCCTTCTCAAGTAAAGAGCATTTTGTTTATGAGTGACTCCTACGGTACTTAAGCCTTATACTGCATACACTGCTGTTCCCTCCATTAGGATTCCAAGTTGTTAAGGGTTTAGGCTTTCTCCATCTTCAACTAAAATGTCATCTATAGAAAACTAAGCAAATGTCTTATTAGACCTATGCAATAAATAACAATCCTTACAATATCATAGGCATTGAAAGCTAAACTCATATATGTTTACCTGACTTTCTTCCAAGGGTCTCCCAGTGACATCCACAGCTGCCTTTCATCGTTATTGACAGTATAGTGCAAGAAATCAATTGTATCCTTAGTGAAGAGGGGGCTGAGGACAGAACTGGCCAGTTCATGACCCCCAGTTGCCTGCACCACCTGAAATGACAGCACGAAGATAGTGATTATCTGTACATCTGCAAAATTTGTATAGGAAAACCCATGCTGAAAACAAGCACTCTTTCATATACTCAAATTAAACTTTGATGTCTACAATTCATTACTAAATGAAGAACAGCTGGTAAATCAAACTGTGCAGCCCAGAGGAACCTAATATGAAATGAAAAGTTAACAGTTTACCAACTTTCACAGCATCTGTCTATTGGCAGCATTTGACTGTACTTTTCCTGGAAAATAATGAGTATGCAGAGAATTCTAAGTCAGGCATTTTAACTACCTCTGCTTATTTTTAACTTTAAAAATAAAATGTATCTATCTCTACAGGCAAATCTATTATACTAACCTTGAAAAACATGGCTAAAGACATGAATACTAAAAAGAGCAACAAAGTTCAACTTAATTGTCTATAACTGTGCTAATAAAGATGTTCAGAAATAAGAATCTAGAGAGAAAGATGAAGAATAGAAACTGGCAGTCTGAATTTATGGCATCTCCCCCACCCAGAATTCCAGGAAATTATCCTGATTTAAAATGGATACTTTAATGAAGAACAAAAACAAACAGGTGCAACTCTCTGATAAAGTGATGATAGCAAGATGTACAAAAGTTGCTCCAAAATGACTTTTTAGGAGCTACTTCTTGGCTAAAGAGTGGTAGTTATCTCCTAGAACAGAAACCAGAGCCCTTTTATAAAAATCTCACCTTCCCAGAAATATGGCCCAAAAAAGAAAGGGCATTTAGGCATGGCTCCAGACGAAGAGTCAATTTCTCTCCCATCACTCAGGTGTTCCAAGGCTGCTATGCTGGTTATGCCTCTGTGTACAAGCAAAAACCATTTCCCAGTTCCCCAGAAAGTCCTTCCTCATCATTCATATCTCTTGTTCAGGTACCAGATCTTGTGGGGGAATTTCTTAAGCCCAGTGTGTGACAGTGAACAGCCACCCATATCCACAAAAGAGTTGATGCATATTATAGCACAGCACATTAGAACTTCTGACTTACTTTTTCTGACGTTGTTTCTTAAAAATTTACACCAAGACTCATTTGATTATGGACTGCAGAAAGCATAGTGTTTTTTAGGGAGATGAATTAGAATAAACGAAAGAGAAAATTAAAAGTAAGGGAGGTAGGTTGATTCTTAGCAACCTTATCCTCCCTGCCCTTGTACTGAATTTTTTACTTCTAAACCCTGTCAGCTCTTCCACTGAGTATGTTAGAGTGCCCATGAGAAATAATGTATGAAAGTAAAGAAAAGGCAGAGAGCCATATTGAAGTATTTGGTTTGACAGAGGAAAATGGGAATGAAATAAAAGAAAACTAAGAAGCTAGGGGCACAATTCCTCTCAAGAGCACGATTGTGCTCTCATGTGTACTGCCTCTGTGCTTGTGTGTACATGCTGAAGCTCAAAGACACAAAGTTTCATCAGGTCTGCAGCAGGCTCTAAATAAAGTGCCTTCCCATCTCTTTTGCACAAGTCAAATATCAAGGTGTGGTAGGTGGATCATTAAATGGAGCAACAGAAATACTATGATTGAGGTGACCACTAATAATGAGTCATTTTTGAGAAGAAATTAATCACAGTTGTCACCAAAACTAGTTTTTGTACGTGAGAAAAACTAGTCTCATTATTTTATAGCCCTACCCTATGTCCTGATTATATATTGACTTAGGAGCCTTGAAAGAGAGTAACTAGAATGAGGTAATGGCAAACTGCTTTGTTAACAATCCTTCCTAATACTCACAGAGAGTAACATATATATTCATGAAAAATTAAAGATGTTAATGAGTTAGTACTCATTTCTTGCATATAATGGCCTTGACCTAATTTTTAAGAGTTTATAAAGCAACAATTACTCAACAATAGCCCTTTAGAAATTGATGGACTATATGTAGCAACAAAATATGAAAGCACTCATAAATTACCAACAAATCTTGGACTATTATCTTCAAATCTCTATTTGTGCAGTTCTTTCATTCATGCTTACAATGTTCCTTTCTGATACCTATAAACCAATATTCATTTATTTTACTTCAGGAGGAAGAACAAGTAGTGGTTCAGACCTGGGCAACTTTAGTGTTAAGAGAATGAGAAAAATCAGCAAAGAAATTGGAAAAGATTTAGTAAGTGAGGAGAAGAAAAACAAGATTCTCACACGCTGGAAGTCAAATTGAAAAAAGTCTGTGTAGTGTCACACTAGACAAAAAGATGAGATTTATCCTTTTCTCCTTTTTGTTATGTGGGGGCTCTTCCATTTATTTTTTATATTTATTTAAAACATATGAGAAGTACTAAATTTGCTCATTTTTGCTAGAAAATTAATATTTATTAATGAACTTAACAGTCACAGTCTTCTTAAGCTCTAAATCAAAGTCAAATTTATCTGTATCCTGTAGTTATTCTTATTCTTAAATTATATCACAGATCTGATACCCAGTCACAGTGATCATTTCTGCCATGTTCACTCTACAAAGCGGTCTTTACAGACAGTTCCGCAGGACAGCCACTCACAGCACACCACACATCCTACAGAAGATAGGAAACTCTGCCATCCTGGAAATACTTAAAGGGAAGAGATTATGCCTTCGGTCCACCCTTCTCTCACTTGCCTCCTCCACAAAATGGGAAAGGACCTATCAAACTGTGGAATTGTAGAAGAGGGAAATCTTCCCTCTTCTGGGATGCATCTGCGTGTAAAGCTAGTATTTGTTCCAACCTGCTTTCTGCTGTCATACTTTCCCCACAGCCCAGCACTTTTCTTTCTGTACTCTTAATTTATATTGCAGCTAATTTCCCCAGCTGTCCTACAGGACAAGATGGTTACACAGACTGTCAGATTGGTGAAAAATCATTATTATACTATTTGTACATGTAAGAAATATGAACTGTACCTATTTTATTACATGTAAAAAGAAAAGACATACCTGAGCATTGAAAAATATAAAAAAGGAAGACCTGTGTCTTCATTTGTGTGTTCTTTCATAATAAATGGTTATGCCAGTTGTGTCAGAACAACGTCCAGTTCATGAAAGATTTGCTCATAACATACCACTCTGTTAGTTTCAAAAATTATACCCTATGTAAAAATATACATGTACAAGAAGAGGTTTTTTTTTGGGGGGGTAAATTGTATTAAGTACAGACCACTGTGTTGGCATGTAGCAACATGCTAAGAACTGCTTATAGTACACAAAGTCTAGACTCCGCTGCTCCCTCCTAGGCAGAGAAGCCCCTAAGATAAAGCCAATAAGAAAGAGGATTACATTTCTTCGGTGTGCTGTGAGATGGCATGAAGAAGTTCAGGTTAACTGGATAAAGGTAGAAATAGTCTAATAGTCTATGTACAGCTGGAGTCAAAAGACAAGTGTTTCTCTAGACTTTCTTTGACTTTGATCAGCTTCTACTGGAGATATCTGAAACTTTTTCAATTATTACTGGAAACTTTTTTTTTTAAAGATTTATTTATTCATACAGAACTGGGGCACAGGCCAGAGATGCGGAGGGTGAGAGAATTCATCAGGAACAGAGTGGGGAGCAGAACAGGCAGATCAACGAAGTACACTGCTGAGGGGAGCAGCGGCGGGTCAGGAGAGGTCTGCCACGCCATGTAGATCTCCTCGGGGCAGGTGGGGATCGAACTCATGCGGAATTGGCTTAAGCTTCTTAGTGCAGTGCTTTAACCCGCTGCACCACCAGGGAGGGCCCATTACTGGAAACTTTTTTCATTTGGTTTCCAGTATATGAGAATTTTGTTTTTCTTCTCCTCACTTCTTTGCTGATTTTTCCCATTCTAACAATGAAGTTGCCCAAAGCTCAACCAGCACTTGCTCCTCCTCTTTAGTCATTCTTCATAGCATCAGAGTCCTCAAATGTCTACTTCTGTCTTATTTTTCCATACACATCAACAATTCAAATTTTCCATCTATTTATAGATAGGTTTTGACAGGTCTAAAAATTAATTCCTTATCTTTCTCATTTTTACCAACAGTCTTTTTCATCTCAGTTAGTAATTAGTTCAGTCCTAGGTCAAAAACTTTACAGATATCCTTGATTCTTGCACATCAAGAACCAGGAAAATTTACTTGTTCTACAGCTTATAATCAGAACCAGATTTCTCACTACCTCCAGGCTACCTGGTCTAAGCACCATAATCCCCATATGGAGTATAGTTAATAGTCCCTTGTTACTTCTTACCTAAATGTCTACACATTGCCAGAACAATCTGGCAAAAATCCTCCCAGCGTTTCAGTGTCACCATCATCTTTATGGACAAACATGGCATGATTCTGCTTATTTACATGGACTATCTCCTGGTCAAGATCTCCCCTCTCATTCCATTCAAATCAAAATAGTTGTTTATTCCAAAAACATGACATGAATGGTACTATCTTGGAGTATTTACCTTAGCTCTTGATTGTCTGGAATTATCCTCCTTCAGAAATCCTATCTTTATTTGCCCAGATGACACCTTAGCTAGCAGTTTAATTAACCAACCCTATTAAAAAGTGGAATACTCCACCATACACACATACACACATGCATGCACACACACTGTAACAGAGAACTCCTTCCCTGCTGTAATTTTCCATATAAAATTTCTAGCAAACTGTATTATTTATATATTTACTTTGGTTATGACTGCCACTCCACCACAAAAAATAAGTTCCAAAAGGGTAAGACTTTTGTCTGCTTTATTCTTGACCAGTTACAAATAACACCAAACCCAGGGGAGGTTCTCAATTAGTAACTGTCAAATAAATAAAAGACAGAATCTCAGCTCAAAAAACAGAAAGATACCTCAATGAAAATTACCTACGTCTCTGAATAAATTCCTAGAGAAGAGCCATTCACCTAGCATTAGACTACTGAAGACTATTCTGTGAGAAAGAAAAAAAAATCTGTATTATCTAAGATGCTGTACATTATATACTACTGTACATATTAGAACACTAGAGAGACTTCATCTTTTCATTTCATTTCCTAGCTCTTTCAGAGACATCAGATTTTGGGGGTATAAAAAGATTAAGATGTTTAAAAGTTCTTTCAACTATTTAAATTTCACACATTTAGTATTTACATAGATGACAGAAAAATAATACCCATGCAAGGTAGTGATGAAAAACTATTTAGTCCATCAGACATACACTTGAAGCTAAAAAAGACTAAGAATATTTTCTAAAATTAATCAACTCTTACCATATTTAATGGAGTAAAGAGAAAATGAACCAACTCTTCAGCACTAGGGTTCTGGATATGAGACTTCAATTTGGCCTGTAACATTTATACACAAATATATTACTGTGACAGAACTGAGCAAAAGACAATCAAAAAGGTTCACTCTTGATTCAGGAGTTCTTCCCTATTAGCTTCACTTCTAGTATATTAATTAAATGGGAAAATTTTCATTTTAAAAATTATAATCCCTTAGATGTATATATTTTATAACTGGCCTAACTAAAAGCAAATCAAAACAGAAATATAACAAATTCACAAGAACAATCTCATTTAACAAATAGCCTCATTAGAGTTTCATCTCTTTTACTTGTTTAATTCTATATAAATAAATTTCACATACCAAAAGGTTAAATCCATGTTTAAATTTTTGGAGGCAGTCAACAAATTCATCGGGAGATGGGGGTTTTGCTCGCAGCGTTAAAACACCCTCTAGTGAAATAAATGGGAGGGTCCATGAGAACAAAGTTCTAAGAAAAAAGTACTAAATTAAGAAAAAAACACATTTATGTCCATAAAGTTTGAAGACCACACTAGAAATCATGATGTGTAGCTGCCCTACACACCTACACAGTTTGACGCAAATATGATGGCACAACATTTGACCCATATTCCTCTGTCACTATTAAATTCCACACATTTACATTGTGGGCTTTCTGTGTCACTTACTGCATTTACCATTTTGAAGACTATTAAAATGTATAAGTTGCAAGCCCTGCTCTTTGAGGGCCTTAAGATCTAGTAGACATGAATCAAGAAAGTAACACAGGTATATGCTTAATGCAGTGGGGGAGATTATATAGCTAGTTAATTTGGGGAAAGCAGATTTGAAGATGGGAGTTCAAAGGTTTGGCTCAGTGTGGGTTGGTAAGAAAAACTTAGCAAAATATGGAGGAAGAAATTGCATGTCAATAAAACAATACTAAGGCAGAGAAACATGAGAGTGGAAAAGCAGCCCAAGGTTACACTGTGGGTGACTCTGACTGTCAAAATGAGGAGAGGACTTAAAGCAATATAGTAGATGAAAGGTGTGATGACATGAGAGACTTCGGAAAACAGTCTTCACAGAATGAAAGACTAGAGCCTTGAGACTACCTAGAAAGCAAGGTAAAAAAGTGGTGAAGCACAGACTGGTTATAGCTCAGCTACAGTATACTTCAAAATCACTTACATATGACTCGAATGTACTGTTAATACAGTTTTGTGACAAAAATTTCAAATCGACTGACATTTTGAATTATGTGTATGAGAAAATTCAATCCCTTTATTTAACAAAATAATGGAGTCCTAAATTCACAATAAAATACAAGAAGAGTTGTGACTTTATATACATGGATGTTAAATTTACAGTCACTAATGACAATGATACACAGAAGACCACTGGCTGAGCCCCAAAGACTGCTGACTCCAGTGACATATCCCAAAGTCTTCATTTAGTGTAGATAACTTAAAACCCAAATAGAATCTTCCCCGGACTCCACTTAGTCTCTTCCTGAATCCCTGGGACTTTTTCAGCACCCAAAAAAGAAACACTAGTGCACTATCATTAGACTTCAGCCGAAATTCCACCTAGCATTCAAGTTCGGAACAGTCTATATGTAAGATAAAAATAAAATAAAATCCAACTCACCTCCTGGTCCTTTCTTTTTACCTTTTTTAGTTTTCTTCCTTTTAGAAAGCTCAGAAAATGCTTCAGCTGCTTTTTGCAGTTTTGTGATAAAAAATTCAATGTCATCCAAAATGTGATTTAAGATTTGCTGAAATTAGAAAATACAAAATAACATATAGAGCAAAAACTATTTTGCATGGGTTGTATTCTGCAAGTTAGTAAAGAAAAATACAGTTAAAGAAAAAAAAAATCTCCCACATGCAAATTTCAAGTTATCACTAATTCTGACAGAATTGAACTAAATGTACTTGTGGCTAAAATCTGGCATTTACATTTTTCTTTAGCTTAATTGTGCTTTTATTTCAATGCCATTAAGAAAGCACTCACAGCATCTCTTCAGAATCAGAGTTATTTTTAATTACTCTAATTTTCTCATAGTATTCTCCCACACAGACTGGGGGAAGGGTGAAAGAAAAAGCAAAGAACCATTTTATTAAAAGAGCATGGAGCATTTTTATTTTTCTAATACGGTGTCAATTAATCTAATAAGGTGACAATAATACTTCATAGAACTGAAGGTACATAGAATGTTGTGACTGTTGGATAAACACAATAGGTATCTACAATAGGTATAAATAAGAGGTATAGCTATTCTACATTGTAAAACAGAACTAATAATAAACTATGCTTTTGATCATCAGATCAATTTTTGTTACCTCATACATCACAGTGTTAACTGATTTTCTCCAACAGTTAGGAAACTTGGCATTCTTCTAATTAAGACCAGGCACTGGGTTAAAATCAACTTTTAATTAACAGTGTATATAAAAAGTAAATTCTGAACTTCAAATTGCTCGTTTCCAAATAAGCTGAAAACATTTATATATGATAAAAGTAATTAGCTGACATATTTTGTGATTAAATCACAGAGTACTGTCTCGCTGTAAGTAAATTATTATGGGAAAATAACAAAAACAGCATTAGCCTTTAAAAATACCACTTAAGTTTTATCTTTTGGGCATTATAAAATTTGCCTAATAAATTCCAGGGAGACATACTAAAAAAGATATTTCAATTATGAAATATAAACATGAGAAAATAAAAATGCCTGAAATCTGCTAATTCAGTTTCAATTATTTAATAAATAGTAATATGCTAGTTCTTTTGTCATGGCCCAAGTCTACTCCTTAAATATTGTAAAAAGGCAAATATATTCAGAAAAAAACATAATTCAAAGGCCACACCAACATTGGAAAAAAGAAAAGAGTTTCCATAAAGCATCTTTCTTTAAAAATAATCAACTTCATTTTCCTTGTGGATATGCATTTTTCCTTTTTATAAACAAGGTCAATGACCTTGAACGTTCTTACCACGTCTCTGTCGACTCGGGCTGCCATCATTTCAGGTGTTTCTTCCTGCTCATGATACTGCCTGGATTTCTCAACTAAAGAAAAGAGGATCATCAGCCTCCCAACCTTTGCTTAGGTAATAGTCATATGCAGGTAATTAAACATTATAACTGACTAAAAAGGAGCGCCGTATGCAGAAAGGGCAGCTTCACTGGCTACACCATCAGTACTGTGCTTATCCAGGAAAACTTCTACGTCTCTGCACCTCTGGCAGACGCAGCTGTTCAGGGATGCACACTGCCTTCCCCACCCGTGATGCCAATTTACTCCATTCTCCCTCTTCTCACTGTCAGCTGCCTGTAGAACTAACCCTATTTTTGCACCCTGTGCTTCCTACCCAAGAAAGAAATAAAAACCATCATTCAGTACCTATTTCATAAAATGTAACCAGTGAAGTTCTATGCAACAGAGCAACTCAGGTTGGTACCTTCCAACAGTCTGATTACAACACAGCTTTGAGGAGTCTAATATTAAAGTGCTTGCTAAAATTCTAGTCCTAATTAAGCTAACAACCCACAATGTTGGGCTTATTAATTTTAAGTCATATGCTTTAAATAGCCACAGGATTTGAAAATTAAAGAATAAAATGTCTTAACAGCATTCCAATGATAAAGTTAGCTCAGTTGACTCGAGCAGGATGTGAATCATGAGGTCATTATCATGAAGCCTTTTCTGGCACAATTCAGTAAGCCCTCCTTTCAGACAGAGAGTTGTACAAAGATTTCACAGTAGATGAAAGAAAAATGAATGGGTGGACAGGAGAAATGCACCACCACAAATAGAAATACATAAAACTCATGATACACCGCCATGTCTCAAGATGTCCAATAAAGACGGCACAAAAACATACTGAAGCCTGCATGGCGACATGTCCTCTAGGCCTAACCTGACCGGTAAATGGACTTGCCAAAGAGGACACAAGACATCGCAGGGTCTTATGTAACTTAATTAGTGACTATTAAGCACTTTAGTATAATTAAAGTTTATATATTTGAAATTTTGCCAGTTAGCTGCTGTTTTACACAAGATTAGCTGCTAGCTTCATTATATAGTACTGCAGAAAGCATTAAGTTGCGCTTGAAATATAGCTCTTGAGACTTCCAGATGGGTGCCAGAACATTACACTGGGACAGGTGAGGGAGAGATGTGGCACTACTGTAGCTTTCTCATGGCATGTGGCACCTGTAGGGCTCCCACTTCCATCATTCTACAGGGACACCTGGGGAACTGCGTGCAGCCCCAGCAAGGACAAAGGACTTGTTCAGCAGGTCCCTTCAGACAAAGTAGTAAGATCCTCCTCTTAAGATGCTTCCCAACTTAAAAGTGGCCTGCATTCAGTTTGGCCTGGTACTAAATTAGAAGTTCTAAAAACCTATTTCCCCAAAACTTTAATAGAAGAGTGTATTTCAGACAAAATCTTCTAAAGAGTGCAGACAACCCTGAAATAAATTTTCTTTTTGTTGTGATACATTGCTCAGTACATTTTTACAAGTTTATTCATGTCTGTCAACTTGAGGTGTCTTATCCTTCCTCCACCTTAAGAACATTTTGAAGGTTCTCAAAATATAACCCACATCCTCTTCACTAAAGCAGTTAATAGCAGCAAGAACACCACACCTAAATAGACAAAATGTAGAAAAAACTATCGTGAACTCCTAATTTGTTTTTTAAACACAAATTTTTATAAAATGGATCACTAGGAATTTATAAAGTCCCTAAAAACAGAAACTTCCATAAAAGTAAATAATGATTCTGTTTTTTTTTTTTTTTTTTTTTTTTTTTTTTGAAAAGTAAACACTTCAAAGACTACTTTCTTTCATCTGTTTGCTAGCTCGGTTTACAGGTAAGCCTCCGAAAACACCTTTCAGGATATGAGAAATCAAAATAAAATGGAAAGCAATTCAGGAAATAAAATGCTCAAATTTGGCAAAAAATGAGAACCCCCACCAATTATGCTTGCTTAGGTGTACAAGTACTGTTAATACACTTTATTTGCTTTTAGATTCCCTACAACCCATGAATTATCCCCATTTTACAAGTGAGGTTGAACTGAAATATAGACAAAATTGTCCAGATACACACAGGAAGATCTAGGTGTGTTCTGCAGCCCAACTCTGGACCTACCAGACTCAGGGTGCAATGTCACTGTGCTGGCAATCAGGTCCTTTAACTATGCTGCCATATCTATTGCATAATTACAGCTTTGTCAGACAAAGGATCGATGATACAAGATCTCCTCGAACCAGGAGAGAAAAGAGAAAGGCATGTTGAGTATTCATCAAATTCAAACTTGCTGATCACAATTTATTCACCCTAAAAAAGAAGAGATCGAACCAAACCGACTGGGAAATGCATCCCAGTAGAAAAAAATCACATTTTCAAAAATATTCTAAAGTATAGTAGGTCACACTCAGTTCTATGCCATAAGTAAAGGTAAAGTGACTGCACACACAAAAGATGGGTGAAACACTGCACGATATACACCTCAATAACATCTTTAAAGATACAGCACCCAACGTAACAATAGTGAAGGAAAGGATAAACAGACGGGGCTACATCAAGTTAAAGAGCTTCTGTACAGCAGAAGAGACATTACAAAAAACAAAAAGGCATCACACTGATTGGGAAAAAAATTTCTCACACAACACTAGTGATAAAGGATTGATCACAATGACATATCAAGAACTGATGAAATGCAACAGAAATAAACAACCCCATCAAAAAATGGGCAGAAGAGCTAAAAAGACACTTCTCGAAAGAGGAAATGCAGATGGCCAACAAGTATATGAAAAAATGTTTAACATCACTTGTAGTAAGGGAGATGCAAATTAAAACCACAATGAGATACCACCTCACACCAGTTAAGAATGGCACATCTTCAAACAACTTGCAACAACAAATGTTGGCGAGGATGTGGAGAAAAGGAACTCTCCTGCACTGTTGGTGGGAATGCAAACTAGTACAACCACTATGGAAAACTGTTTGGAGGTTCCTCAAACTGCTAAACATGGAGCTTCCCTAAGACCCTGCAATCCCACTCCTAGGTCTCTACCCAAAAGACACAAAAACACTGATTGAAAAAGATACTTGTACCCCCATGTTTATTGCTGCTTTATTTACAATAGGAAAGACCTGAAATCAACCTAAATGCCCCAAAATAGATGACTAGATTTAAAAAATGTGGTACAAATACACAGTGGAATATTACCCAGCAATCAAAAAGATAAACTCATGCCTTTTGTAGCAACATGGATGGAGCTGGAAGGGATCATCATCATGCTTAGTGAAATAAGCCAGAAAGAAAAAAAATACTAGATGGTTTCACTCAATGCAGGAGCATAAAGGGCCAGGAGGAAAAGTAATAATAATAATGAACAGCCATATGCCAGAAACATTTTATGTGGGTGGAGTGGGGAATGGGATCAAAAATTAGGGTGCGGGGAGGTACACTGGACTATGGTGATGGCACATAGGTGATTTGGTGAGGGGAAGCCCATGGGGATTACAAATGAGATGGAAAAAGGCACAAAATGATGTAAAGGTGAGCTATCATATTTTTTTTTTTAAATGACTGCACACACAAAGGGCCCATTTAGAAAGTTCAGCCAGATGGAGAATGCCTGGTAGGCCTTTTCCACTGCCCGGCCACTGTCCTAACATCCTTCCCAGGTAACCACGGCTAATCTGTCCAAAAGAGGAAAGTAGCATGACAGTAAGAACCTGAAGTATAATCTTTAAAACAACCTGATAGTCTCTTCTTTGGCACACAGTATATTTTATTACTATCCTAGTAATTATTAGTCAAATCAAATTTCTGTCTCTAATCTTAATGACTTGTCTGAATTTCATAAAAATGAGCATCAGAATCTGAAAGTCAGAACACTGTCACAAACCAAAATAAGTGCTCTTTGAGTATAAAGATGTAAAACACTCACTATCCCCTTGGTCAGATGCCCATGCAGACCAGGCTGCCACCCGACTTCTGACGTCCACCTGGGTGACAGTTCCAGGGGGGACGGGTGCAGGAGCTCTGGGAGGAGGCGGAATACCAGGGTCCGTTTTGGAAATCATCCTTAAAAAAAGCAAGCATATTAAATTTTACCATCTGTAACACATTAATTCTCCAACTCTACTGTACTCATTTTTCAAGAGGTAAATCAGGTCTTTCTCATCATTTTATACTACATATACTTGTAAATGTATAGAGAATAAAAAAATAGAAAAACTTAATAAATTCAGGTTAAAGCAGGATTTACTCTTTTTCTTGACGGCCTTTGATTTGAAAGGATATGAACCCCTATATTCCTTCAGGTACTCCCTGAAGCTCCTTGCCTTTTAAATGCCGCTCATCTTCCCCGAGTCCCTGGAACACCACCTGTAGGGAAAGCCCTTGTCTAGACAAAGAGGACAGCATGGAGGAAAGATGCCCACATGTACTAACAAACACGGAGAGCTAGTGGGCGGAGATTACAGGTGGCCATCTATAAAATGCAATGATACACCTTTGGTCACAGTACTGTTTCTAAATCTTTAGAACAAAAATGTTGCAAAAAAACAAACAAACAAAAAATCAATTCCATCCCTTTCCTTCCCTCCTTGTTTTTACCTCAGAGCCTCGGGCCGCCTCTTCTGTTTCCCTCCTTTATAGTCACTGATTGCGCTCTCAATATCCTCACTAATGAGGTTTGCCTGCAATAAAAAACTAGTTATCTGGAAGGTTACAGATCTTACCTTTTGCTCTTGATATGTAGGTCAAAATAGAAAGCGGGATTATGTTCCTATTTGAATCAGTCTCTTCAACGCAAAAGAAAAGTATGTATTGGCTCTCTGCTTTCTAACATGAGTCCTATATATTTTAGAATGTGAACATTATGGTGATAATATTAAAAAATTTAAAGAATTTTTAAAGATGATTTAATTCAGATTCCTTTAGTTTTCTGTTTGTTTTTATAAAGCTATCCCTGCACAAAGGCAAAGAAAAAGGATTTGCTAATGCTGAGTGGATAGACATGCTGAAAATGTAGCTGGGTAAATTTCTGTGCAGGCACGAAGGATCTGGAAGGAGCAAGTTCAGTAGAGTGGAATCCTTCGCTTCCTCAGCCGCAGAATACATGGGCACCCACAAGCCACTGAAACAAATCACCCAGTCCCAGCAGAGCTATGCCAGTCCAGGACAAATCCACTATAACTATCAGCTGAACCCAAAGCCAAGCTGTAACCTTTTTGATGACTATCATTTTGTCACTGCAGGTAAATGATAAATGATAACCTTTGCCGGTACTTTTCCAAAAAGAATATCTGACTCCATTTTCTTGGGAGCCAATATGAAATTAACTGCAAGGTTTATTTTATTTGGCTATGAAGTTTATTTATAGCCAGAGATTATTAAATGTTCATTTTATAACCATAAAGTTGTACAGCTGAAAGGACACTTAAAGGGAAGTTAATCTGTTTTTTGTTTTGTAGCTAAGGAAACTAAGGAATGACAGGATGATGGCTTGGGTAAGGTCACAGTGTTCCTTGTTCAAGACAACCCAGTTTCAGGAAGACATGACAAGCATCACACATGATGGCTTTCTGCTTTGCAGGATATTAAAACTGAAGATGACTAGAAATGCTGAACTTTATAGGGAGGCTGTGATACTTCTAAGAAAATTTTTACTAGACTTGGGTAGGCGTACTGTGTCAAAATTCCTTAAAGAAATGTTAAAACAAACAAAAACAAAAAACTCAAAGTGATGTTGTATCATGACAAAAGCCACATTTTATGTCATGGTATTTTCCTTTCAGTGACACAGAGATATTGTATGTGGCTCATGTCCCAAAACTAAATGAATGTTACTGTACAGCAGTGCCTGGTTAGGACGAAACGGAGCTCAGTAATCTGTTTCAGACCCATTGGCGTCACCATAGCCTGTTGTATAAAGCAACTCACTCTTTTATTCCCAAACTGAAATTCAGAGACTTTTACTTTCTTTTAATTGTTAACCTTTTTTACATTCTTTTTTTTTTATTAATTTTTCCAGATTCTTTTTTTTTAAAGATTTATTTATTTATTCATATAGAACTGGGGTACAGGCCAGACATGCAGACGGTGAGAGGATTCAGCAGAGACAGAGCGGGGAGCAGAACAGGCAGATCGAAGAAGTACACTGCTGAGGGGAGCAGCGGGCGGGTCAGGAGAGGTCTGCCACGCCATGTGGTCACCTCCGGGGCAGGCAGGGCTCGAACTCATGCGGAAGTGGCTTAAGCTTCTTAGTGCTGTGCTTTAACCCACTGCGCCACCAGGGAGGGCCACTTTTTTACATTCTTGTTCATTTTTGTGGAGTATATGATTTCTTTCTGTGTAGTCCCATCACCATGGATTCATGTGCTCTTACCTGTTGCGGTCCCTTCTCCTCCCCCACTCTGTCTCAGGCCTATAGTTCCTGCAAGTGCTGTCCTTTCTTTTTTTGACCCTTTGTTCAGTTTCCCTACATTCCTCCTATTAGTGATATCATCCAATATTTTTCTTTGTCTTTCTAATATGAAATTCAGAAACTTAACTCAGCACAATAATTCTTAGATTCTGTGGGGACCTTTCCAGCACTGAGACAAACACCAGATTTAAAATGTCTTCTAGCCTAATCTTCTGCTTTATAAAGTGTTTGGATTGAAGTTCACGATATTTTCAGAGAAAAGCATTCACTTTGATACTTAGTGATATAGGAAATCAAACAATGTGTAATTTTTCATATACTTTAAAACTTCCAACAGGCACTACCTAAAAATCTAGTGACCATCACATATCATCAGCTGTCACAATTCTTTTCAAGTAAAATTTTCAGAAAGTCATCTATGTCATAAATGGAAATAAATAAAATACACTAATTGCATAGGTACATAATAAACAATAAAAACTCACTAACTGTAATCAGTCTTAATCAGTGATATTTTAATGTCAAAGAAACACAGAAAGGATCAAGAGAGACTAGCTAATCTCTAAGAATTTGTTTATAAAATTTCATAAAATTCAATCATAGCAATAAATCACTGCTTTGGCAAAGTTCCCATCAACTCAGCACAATGATTTCTCTTTGGAGACGTCAACCCATGACATAAAGACATTCAAAGTTGAAGATAATTTCTAATGTCCAATCATTATTTCAAATTATCATTTGAAGTTTCCAATACAAATATTCAGGTAATAGCCTATCATTACCAGTAACTATATTGAATTATTTTCGCATATCAATTGCAGTAATTCTTGAACAACAGTCTATTCACATAATAGTGAACTTTAAAACAATACACAGAATATTATGGATTATAGTCCATTCCATTCCACAACACTACTGCAGAATATAGCAGGATGGCATCATTACTTACTATTCATGAAACACGATTTCTGAAGGATCAATTTTTAACTATAAATCTAAGAAACTCAAAGAGGCACTTAATATATTATCTATACCTTTTTATAATTATCAAGGCTGTATCTTTTTTTAAATATTACTCTTTCTCCTCCCCATTCACCTAATAACTATTAGCCATGTGATTGAAATAGTCAATTCAAAAGCTACCAAAATACCTGCTTATGGGAAAAGAAAGTTCACGACTCTTTTACCTTAATCTCATCACACTGGAAAAGATGAAGATCTGGCTTATTCTGGGTTGGCTCCTTGCATACCAGGGCAAGAATTGAGTCAAAGTTACAAGAATGCATCATGGCTTGGCAGTGCTGGATTGTGTTTAGAGGAAAATTCTCCAGTTCATTCTATAAATAAAGCAAAAATTAGAACTACTTTATTTTTTATTTTTCCAAGCACTCTAAGCAATGTGCAATTAATTTGTAAAGTATGACAATCATATTGACAATGTACACTAGTAAGTACTGCAGAGGCTGTGAAGGATGACATGGTACAAGATGGCAGCAGAGAAGCAAGGCTGGGCTTTGAGCTAGATGGAGGGTGAGAGCAAGAGGAACAACGATGGATATGTTCAGCAGAAGAACACAGTTATGTTCTTAATGCATAGGAGTAATATGGGAACCTAAGAGTATTACTCTTAGGTTCAGAATATTGGACAGGGAAGACACCTTTAAGGGCAAAAGAAGTAAACTGAAGCTCCTTTACAAAATTATTCACCATTTAATGGGTTTTTTCTCTCTCTAGCAATGCAGCGCCAAGAATTTCTTACATGACTATTGAAACTTCAAACACTTCGCTTCTACCTTCAACAAGAACAAATACTAGGCTATGAATAATATATCATTCACAATTTTTTTTGTATTGAATCTCTCAGATGAAAAAATTCACTCTATATTGATTCCAAACAAAAATGTCAAATGGCAGTCGGAAGGATCTCACTGAAATCACACTTTTGCAAATTATGAAGATATGTGGCAGTATAAAACTTAAGTCTTAACTTGTAAGAATCATGCAATAAAATTAAATAAGTGTTTCTTAAAACAAAAGAATGGTCAGTTCAGACACAATTAGAATTCAGTGGGATAATTTAAGGTGTTATTTTGACATCACCGTACAGAGATGGTGGAGGTACAATAACATAACAGGAGAAAAGCTGTGATTTGTTTTAAAAGAAACAAAATGTAATACAGGTGATAATTAGAACATTAAAGAGCATCAATCTTTACTACAAAAAGCACATACACATATACATCACCCCACAAATTTATTCTAAATAAATTTATTTATTATAAGTAAATATTCTCTGGGACCCAGCAAAGCAATGCACATACACAGGTTCCACTAAAATATAATGAGACTTCTAGGGCATAGCGGACAAATTTCCTGTTTTGAAATAATAAATTACAAGCTATCTGTTGTCCAGAATTACTTGAAGCCAAGTAATTGGCTTGGAGGCTGTTGACCACAGTCTACAGTGGGTGGGATGAAAGAAAGGGACCGTTTTCCCCAACTCCTATCAGAACACTCCAACATGACTAAAATCGTGGCTTTCTTTACCTCAGCAGTTCAAATGCTTCTTACGTGACAGCTCAGAAAAGTCCTCTTTTAAGAGCTCCAGGGGTTGTATATAAAATAATTAGCCTTAAAAAGATAAGGGCTGAGGGTGCTGAAAAGTTAACACAAATCCCTTCATTCCAAACCACACATTTACTGGGATGTGGTTTGGCATACCTTGCAATTGGTATATGTCATACAGAGTAATACCATATTTGTGGATTATTATAGCATTATATAGTTTTTCCTTGTTTCTCCCATCTCATAATTTGTGGTTAAAAAAATTTTTTTTTAAAAAAGGCCCCCTTTATCTCTAATTTCTTCAAAATTATTAAAAAATATATTTTGTTACCTTTACCCTTTACCCATTTTCAATCAATTTGATCTGATGATAAGATTACTATATTTGTAAAATTATCATAAAAAATAAAATAGCATGAATTTCATGAACTTGCCTTTGATTCTAAATCAATGAGGCTCACAGCTCTGTCATCTACCTGAAGAATCATATCTTGAGTCCATACTTTGCCCTTGGCATCAAGCAATTTCAGCTTCCTTATTCCATCATCAACAGTAATCATAGCATCTTTCCGATCCAGAACAAAGGTAGTCAAGTGCTTAAAGTTGCAAAAAGGAAAAAATATTTATCATACAAAATCACTAAGACACATTTCCCCAAGGAAAGCAAAATTAGCTGAGTAACTGTCAGAGAAGAGAGTACAGCAGAGAGGAGAGGGAAAAAACACTCTGGAACTTCCTGGTTCTCTCCCCGAGATAGAAAGTCAAGGAGCTTTTTACTGAATAGAGGAAGTTATGCTTGAATTAGTAAAATAGGTAAATTTGCTTAATACTCAGTGATGTTGAATTACATAAACAGGACATGAAAATAAGTCCTAAACAGTGTAAGATTTACTGAATATGAATCCCCTCCCATTTTATTCCATTTTGGTTATTCAAATATTGAACAATGAATGGCAAGGAATCTTCATGGCAGCTTAAAAACAGACAGCAGTTACAGTCACTTCTAGTGTGTTACAATTGTCAAAACTTTTCACTCTACAGAAACCACTTGCTGTTTAATTAAGTTAACATAGGTAGAAAACTGAAAATGGGAGCCATTTAAAAAATTATTTCCCTGATTAAAATATTTTCTATTATGTACAAGTATCACTGAAATAGACCCCAATTAAGAGCAAATATCATAAAGATAACAATAGAGACAAAACTAAAAAAGAAACCATTGTTTAAATAGAACTAGTTAACAACTTTAGATAAAACAAAGCCATATACTGAAACTGTCAAAGACTTAATTTCAAGAAGATTCTCTAGGGACTCCCTGGTGGAGCAGGGGTTAAAGTCTGAGCACAATGAAACCATTTGCAGCCACTGCAGCAGGTGTTCACTGGGGGAGCTGACTCACAGGGCAAAGTAGACCTTTTTTGTCTTGCTCCCCTCAGCAGTGTATTTCAGTAGATCCACCTGTACTGGTTCCCACTATGTCTCTCATAAATTTTCTCACCTCACCCCCCACACTTCTGGCCTAATCCTAGTTCTTGTATGCATAAAAAAATTAATCTTTAAAAAAAGATTATAGTATAAAATAAATATTTTTGTTCTTTTAGGGAAATACAAAAGCTACTGTCTTTATTTTCTATGAAAATTGATCTCAATCTAACAAAATGTGTGTGTGTGTGTGTGTGTGTGTGTGTGTGTGTGTGTGATTTATTTCTTTTATTGAAGTAACACTGGCTTACAACTGTACATGACTTAGAGGTATAGGGTCAACCACCCAGTGTAGTTTTTCTTTCCTTTTAACTTTTATTTGTAATATATTTTACATCATTGTTCATTTTTAAACAATGTTTGCTTTCCCCCTGCCTTGGTCACAGTCCCCATACAATTTCCTCCCCAATTCACCAGTGTACAATATATTTATATGTAACATCTCACTTTTACCAAGTAGGCTGATAATTTATAATATATCACAGGACTGATTCTGGGTTAATTTTCTTCTATAGTATAAAGGGACAATAACTTGTATTATCTGATACAAGTTAACACAAATTCTGATTTTACTACCAATTTGTATTTCCCTTAAGGTTTGGTCTAACTTTTGGCGAACATGGAAGCATCTTACTTCAACGCGGTACTGGGATATGTCAGACATGCTGCTGATACTGTCCCGAGCATAGTTCTTCCTTTGTTCTGAAAGAAAAGTTTGAAAAGTCATTAGTTGTCCACTTGGAGGCGGAACTTCCTATCTGGATGTCTTGTGGCCATCTCTGGAATGAGTCTATCTCACAAATAAATACAGTAGCTGACAGGCACCATGCTGTGCTGCTGTGAAAATGCTCACTATCCACAGTAAGTGAGAATGTCATCAGAAAGCTTACACAATATGCAAGGGCAATTTGACCTGATGTAAGCTTTCAGAACCTCAAAGGTAAACAAGATTATTAATGTTATATTGGAGGAGGGGAGTTATTTTCTCTGAAGGTTTTATTAATCAGGACATTCCTATTCGGTCAAAAGATAAAAACTGACTTGCAAATTTCACCTATTAATGTGTTAAGGAAAAGACAGAACCTCAAGTACTGCCACAGATACTGTATTATACGAGTTAGACTCCATTATTAAAATGATAGGCATTACGAGGAACATTTCCATTCACAACACCCCAACTATGGAGAATGTTGGAAGAGATTTAAAACATGATTCATTCACACAGACGGCCATGATACCTTAATAATCTTCATAGAACTACAGAGCACACAAATGCCATACTCAGAATTGTGGATATAAGCAGTTAGGGAAAAGTATAAAGTTACTGTACCAAGCTATTTTAAAAGCAGAAATAACCTCAATATTTTTTTTTGAAATGCTGCAAAACCAAAATAAAATATAAATGATCAGGGCAACTTTTTTATTTACTTCTAATCAAACAGCTTGCTTATGTGCAAATGCAGTGTTGCCCTGTCTCTTCTAAAGGAACATACTGTGGTGCCAAACGGAACTCCAAGTGCGAGCCCAATTTTTTAATCTACTTCTGGCTCTATGATCAAGAATGAGGCTCAATTTGCAAGACACAATGAAGACACTTGACTTTGGACCATAGCACCCTTGCTGTAAAATAGGCACTAAATACCCCTACAGTACTATAAAATATTCTCTCTTCTTTGTTTTCCTACTAATCAATTTTTTCCAAATATAATCATTTCTTTCAGCTATTACAGAGAATTTTAGAAATTCTTAGAAGTTGAAAAGTCCTGCTAAACATAAAAGCCAAGTAAAAAAATATTAAGCACAAATATATATATATATATTCAGATTGTTAACATATTTTTTAAATTACATACATTTTGGTTCATAATGAAAAAGTTATTATTATTTTTCTACTTGCCTTAAAACAGGTAAACCTATTTATATGCCTTATGTTGCTGATATCAATATATATAATATATTTTATTTATACTTTTGCAGCATTAAAATTACTCGAACGTGGACACACTACAAAACCAATATTTGCTACCTTTCTTTTTTTGTTTAGATGATGACCTGAAGAAGTACGATCCATCTGGTCCTACCAAAATAACATGATCAACAACAACAAAAAAAAGATCTGGTTTCACCTTAAGTTTTCTATTTCAGCAGGAAAAAACATAAACCTTAACTTAAATGACTATATTCTACATATTTAAGGAAGTGAACCACCACAATTTTTCTGATTATTAGTTATGGATTAGCTGATATGTGATTTTAACAAAGGGATCACTGCTCCTGGGGAATCCAATATACCTTTTGAAATACAACATGTGAGTCAGGAATATATGTGTACTTTATGAACAGTCATTGCTTGAGACTGGTCCATCAGATTCTAACCCAGGTCTCCATGTAGACTGGGACCAAGAGGGCAAATCAGTTTCCTTTGGCCTGACCCAGGGACAGCACAGAAAATGCCCATGGTGCGTGGGATCCAGTGAAAACAAGGCAACCTCAGGTCGCTCACTTGCTGGTCGTTCAGCTAAGTGGCAAGCAGAGGTGAAGATCAAAAATACAGTATGTTTTGAAATTAAATATTCTCCTTATGAAGTAGCATTACTTCCAAATTTCCTAACAACAGTTTCTCAGCCCCACCAAAACCCACCTGACAAAAGTAGAAAAGCATTAATAGTTTTCTATAAATACAATAGCACAGATGGTTGTAACAATGAAAAATGGTGCATTTCAAATATTCCAAAGTAAGAATCCACTTTAAGAACTCTTTAGCTCTTTTTTTGTCATCACTATATAATAAATAGAAATTATATGAAATTTTCTATTAAAGATCCTAAAAATGCCAGAAGATGGATTTATAGGTAAACTAATAATTCCACTGATTTAAGTTACTGAGTACAGAAAGGTTAGCATTAATATTTTAATAAGGAATTTGAAGAAAAGTTCCTAAAAAGGCATTAGTAGACCATTTATTTTATATGTGAATCATGTGTATTCTGGATTACAGTTGTAAATAGTAATTAAGCTCCTACACTGAAAAATCTCACCAAAAGCCTTAAAACACTATGACAAAATTTAAATAAAGTCTCATAGAAACATAAGATAAAACCTTGAATAATGATTACCACTTTCTCTAATGATGGATTAAAACCTCAGCTGCACATTAGAATAAAATTTTTTAAATTTTAGTATTTAAAAAATATTGTCTGGGGCCCATTTTCCATATTCTATGCAGCTGGTTGGTCCAGGGCACAGCCTCAGCACTGGGGTTGGTGTAGGTTTCCCAGGAAACTTTAATATGGAACTTTCCCAGGAACTTAAATAATGTTGAGAAGTTCTGCTCAAACATTTGTGGAAATGCCAACCAACGTACTACACATTTTCATTAAGCTGAACATTTTTCCTTACAAATTGAGAATGTGGGAGTGCAAACAGTACAACCACTATGGAAAGCTGTTTGGAGGTTTCTCAAACTGCTAAAAGTGGAGCTTCCTTATGACCCATCAATCCCAGTCCTAGGTATCTACCCAAAGGACACAAAAACATTGATTCAAAAGGACACCTGCACACCATGTTTTTTGCTGCTCTATTTACATTAGGGAAGATGTGAAATCAACCCAAATGCCCAAAAGTAGATGACTGGATTAAAAAGATGTGGTACATAGGCACAGTGGAATATTACTGAGCGATCAAAAAGCAGCAACATGGATGGAGCTGTAAGGGGTCATGCTTAGTGCAATAAGCCAGAAAAAAAAAAAAAAGAAAAATACTGGATGGTTTCACTAATAGCAGGTGCATAAGGGACCAAAGGGGGTGGGGGTAGGGGTAGGGGGGAACCATTGTAATAAAGAAAAAATGTAAAACAACAAACAACTATATACCAGAGACAGTTTATGGGGGGTGGAGTGGGGAATGGGATCAAAATGGAGTGGGAAAGGTACATGGGACTATGGTGATGGCATACAGGTGAATTGGTGGTGGGAAGTCCACGGGGATTACAACCAAGATGGGAAAAGGCACAAAATGAAGAATGATGTAAGAATAAATTTAAAAACTAAAAAAAAAAAACTAATTGAATGTAAATAATACTCAAGTGGTGTATGAAACAATAACTAAATAAATTTGTCAGTAGAGTTTTGGGATTTAGGATCATTAGCTACTCAACTGCCTACGGAAGAGTCAATGTCTGTATGTCTCCTCCACTCTATCCCCAGTCAATTAAGAGTTAGGAGCAAACTTTGATTATACCACTGATGATGATTCACTATTTTTCCAAAGGGCTTTTATTCCATGGGCCAGATCATACAAAGAGAAGGAAATTGATGAATTCACTAACCAAAGATAAAAAAAGTTGTACAGGTCAATTTAGCATTACTGATTTGAAAAAAAAATGCTCCAAAAAAAAAAGAGATTCAATTTCCAGATTAGTAATGTTCAATGTCAGCTTGTACAGGCTTGCGTGATTTTGATATACTAATGTAGGTACATCAGTTGTAGCAAATATGACTCCAATGGCGATGACAACAGTGGAGTTGACTACCCATTTGCAAAAGGGTATACATGGGAAATAGCTGTATCTCACTCTCAATTTTGGTGTGAACCTGAAAGTGCTCTAAAACATGAAGTCTTAATTAAAAAGTAGCTAAGTTACATTAGGTCCCTGCCAGTTGCAATTAGTACAACAGTGCCAACATGTATGTCTCTGTATTTTAACTCAAATCCCTTTTCTGCATTGCAGCTTATCGCTGCATATAGCAAGATGTGAACTAATATTCAGAAAACATTTGTTTTCACTTTCTCTGAAAATAGTGTTGCCTAGAAAGTAAAGAATTGACATCTGAAAAGATAAAAATGGAACATAAAATCAGAGTATTTCTCTGAGTATTTCTCTCTAATAAAACAATGGACTATTTCACAGTACTTTACACTTAAGGAACTTTCAAATACAATAAAGGAGAATTCCTTCCCTATTATCTTTAGTGTATAATTTTCATAAAGCAGATGTGTATCATGGGAGCCAGTAAGGAGCAGTAACAACTAAAAGCCCTCACAATTAAGCAAATATGCCAATAGACGCTTCCTTAACAGTCTTTTTTTCCCTTTTTTAAAAATCTATAACTAAATTATTGAAAATTTAATTTTACTAGTCTGCTCAACAAATAACTAAAATAGCCTAATCCATTAGGAGAAAAAAGTATCTTTTTTGAGTCATAAATTCTGGTACCCTCTTACTAGGCTAGAGTCTGACTCGACCATTGCCCAATTTCCTGATAACATATATGATCCTTTACTTCTTAAGAATTTTTGAAATGCGGGCCCTCCCTCGTGGCGCAGTGGGTTAAAGCACAGCACTAAGAAGCTAAAGCCACTTCAGCATTAGTTCAATACCCACCCCGGAAGTGACCCACATGGCGTGGCAGACCTCTCCTGACCTGCCCACTGCTCCCCTCAGCAGTGTACTTCCTCAATCTGCCTGTTCTGTTCCCCACTCTGTCTCTGGTGAATCCTCTCACTTGCCCCCAAACCTCTGGCCTGTACTCCAGTTCTGTATGCATAAATAAATAAATCTTTAAAAAAAAAACTTTTTAAATGCTATTTAAAAGATGTTAACTTTCTTTCTCCAAGTAAAATATACATTGTAATAACCAGAGTGGAGAAAAGAGAAAGGTAAAATCTGTGACAAAATCAACTGCATCACAAACCTCTCCCTAACATTCTGGTTGGAAAAAAAGAGTTTATTGCTCTCTTGATCTCAAAATTTGCAGACCAGGAAGCTAAACAGTCCCAGTGTTACCTAACTATAGTTTAAACTTCAACTATAATTTGTTTATACAAATACAAGTACGTATTTCTCCACTGTCACTTATCTATTCATTTCACAGGCATTTATGGGGAACCTGGTAGAGAGAAGACGCTGCATGAATGTGTACAGGGTGTGGGAGGATAGGATGGGCCCTGCCTTCTGAGATGAATGGAACATTTTCTGCAACTTCAAGGAAATTAAAATCCATTCTATTTCTAAGCCCAATATCATGCTCAGATGTTGTTTGTCCTTACCTCATTTTTACCGTTTACTAGCCCTCCTTTATGTCTTCTGTTTCACCAATAAGCTGTTCATTTTCATCACACTACACAAAATTGTCATGTTTTCTTATTATCAAGATTTTTAAAGTTATGTGACAAATTACTTCGTTTTTAAAAAATAGAGCTCCATTTGCTTTATATGTAAAAGGAGAAAATAAAAATATGCTGCCTTGAAAGCTAAAGATTTTTAGTTCTTGGATCTATGATTTTAGGAAGCTGTTGCTAACACAAAATAAGCACTAAAAATCATAGGCAAGTCCTGTAAATTTTATCCAGTTATTCCTTCCTTAGCTCTCCAACAATAGACTTTGGATGTGAGATATTTGTGAGAGGATTGCTACTCTTTCTCCTTACCAAAAGTCTTCAGGGTATTAAGATGTCTGGTGTGCCTATATTACTTGATTCACCTGTTTCCATCAGTAAGTATCAAATCTACCACCAACACTGCTACTAGAGATGCAAGACAAATATGACCAATTAAACACCTGATTAAAACACTTTAGATATCATCTCCTAGAAAAAAATGTCTAAATTCCCTATTGTGATTCTTCCTAGTATTGTCCATGTTTATTGTTGCAATCTTATTTGCCAATGGATACGCCACCTTGCACCCTCCAGTTAATGCCACACTGTCTGCAGATCATTAACTCATTATATTCGTTCTTCAAACAGATACTGAGCACAAATTATACACTAACCACTGTGCTAACCTCAGGGATCCTAATGTAAACAAGACAACCATGACCTGCTTTCACAGAGCTTACAGTCCAGCTTGGAAAAGGGGTTCATACTGCTATTGACAGTACCACCAGCCTCAATGCCTGAAGAGCACTTCTGACCTCTTATACTTCTACTCAATCCTCCATGAATCCCCTCCTGACTGCTTCCCCCACTACACAGAAACATCCCTCCCTATACACAAAGTCACCCACATCTATTTAACTCTCTATTATAACATGCAATTTATTCACCAACCTAACCAAAAATATGAATAAACAATGAAAAGCTCTTATTAATCTCTGAAACAAATGAAAGGATATGGAAATAAAGACAATGGAGATTGTGACCTAGCATAGAAGCATAGATCAGTCTGCAAATTCAAAACATAAGAATAATTTCTACAAAAAAATTATTTCCTTTTTCATTTTCTTCAAGTCATCCTCTGGATGACTGTCATCCTTCAAGTCCCTTAAAGTCAGGAGCCAGGAATTTTGGATTCTGTTGTGAGAACATGTTACTTATTTGTTGACTATATTCCCTAGATATACAATTCAGAATTTTTCAGAGGCCAGGTTAAGAATGTCACAATAGAATCCTCAAGAAAATCAAAACCAATACTAATCAAGACTGACAAGACCATAGAGAAATATATCCAGGTACAATATAAAATCCACTGATAAATATGTGATTTGAGTCCCAAAGCCTAGTCACTGAATAGATAGACAGGACAAGAATCACAAAACCTTCGAATTGCTGATTTTTACCACATCAAAACAATTTACATCTCGGTAAGTTAAAAAAGAAATTTTCAAATTAAAAAAAAATGTTTTTGACAATAACATTAATGATAACCTCAGTAATCACAATGGTAAACACATTCAGTTTCTTCTGCTTCCCGGGTGCTGCCCTAAACAATTTACATGTTCTAACCCATTTCTCATGGCCCCATTAAGTAAGCAAACAAAAGAACTACAGGCAAGTAAGGTAATTAAGCCAAGATGAGTCAATTAATGAATGGTAGAGCTGGATTTGCACCAAGTAAGTTTTTGCTCTGATTCTTTACTTTTGTACAGTAATAAAAGGTCATGCAGACCCTGTAAAACAAGTGTTTTCCTACATGTGTGGCAATTTCAGAAGTCCTCATTTCATTTTAGGTAATAACATCTATATCATGTTAGAACTTTTAAAAGCATTATATATGAAACAATCTACAGAGGACAATGAAAGTTAGACAAGGTCAGGAAGAATGCATTTATCTTGCAAAACAGAAAAATATGACACAGCCCTGTTAGTCATATTGTAACAACACCCCGAAAGTTCGAGAGCACTGAGGAAGAAGTTCTAATAATTGTCAGCATACATTCAACTGGGGATCGGTCACGTAGTGCAACAAAACATATCACAAATAATTAAATGGGAAAATCCACGTCAGGCATTGTTATCATACCAGGAATTCTTAGAAAGCATAACAACACATTTCATTTTTAGTTTTAAACTCTGTAACAGCAAGCAGAGGAAACAGTTTTGGTAATTTTTGTAAATCTTCTTTTTAAAAGATTCCTTTACTGTCTATAGCTCCTTCATTCTGAAAAGTTTAAGCAAAGCATGGATTCAAACTATGACACTGGAAATGTAATCTATAAAAAATAGAATTATATCCCACCAAAAAAAAAAAAAAAAACATACCGTAAAGGGCCTTTGCACTTGTCTTTGAACCGTGTTCTCTGTCCATTTGGGAAAAGGTGGATGATGATGGTCCATAGCCACTGTAATAAAACGCAGTCATTGTGCCGGTTAAAGTCCAAGGTAAGTAATAAAAACTCAAAACTGCAAATAAATACTCAAATACAATACAGTCCCCATGTGTCATGAGCAAACATGAGAACTGAGTTTATTCAAACTGGGTGAAATGGGCCAGATTATTCTCAAGAAATAGGATGCCAACCATACCACCCCCAAGGTGGGTGCAGATCATAACCTCCCTCAAACACCAAGTCAGAACCAATTATGAAGATTTAACAAGGCTATAATTATCTTAGATAAGATCAAGTTTGCTATACTGGATTGAGTTCTGAACAATAATCCAGTCATAAAATGTTCTTGGTGAATCAAGCCATAAGGGAATAGACCCTCTGTTCATAAGTACTTAAAAGGCAGTCCTCAAAAATGACACTTTATCATTAAATTTGATCAGCTTCTCCCTGCACCTAGCCTCCTACTGCTAATATGCTACAAGAAGTAAACATTAATTTTTTTATTTGTTCAGTCAACACTTATGCCCTAAAACCTTGAAGAACAGGAGCTACAAATAGGGAGAATGGGAATGGAGTACTACTAATTACTACTAGTAATAAGACAGTTATAACAGAATGCAGTGCCTGGGTAAAACTAATAGATATAACATGTAAGGTCAAAGAAGGGCTAACTATTTTACCACCATGTGGGCATTTAAGCAGAATCTTAAAGAATGACAGACGTGCTATGGACAGGTGGCAAGTTAGCACGACCTAGCATATCTGAGGGAAAATGCATCTAAGGGTGTGTGCCTAGAACAGATGAATGGCTAGAGAAGGAATGAAGGCATAAACAGAACTTAAAAATAAAATTCGTATTATCTTAATATATTAAATATTTTTAGACAGAGCAGTAATATGATTCCTCATAACTTTAATGATGGGGATCCATAAAGGATCCCCTGAAAGGCAAGGTAACCAGATACAAAGGCACTACAATAATTCCAGTATAAGATAAAGTTCATAAACAGAGCTAGAAGAATGAAAGGAAGGGTTGAGACAAAAGTTCTTTAATAGGAAAAAAAAAAAACCACATAAATTAATGACTTAGTAGATATTTGTTGTAAGAACCAAGGGTGAAGCAAGAATGTGACAAACTTTCTGGCCCAAATAACTAATAGGCAAGATATGAATGGTGCTGACTTCCCTCCTGTCTCTTAATTGACCCAGATTAAAGAGATTTGCAATACTCTGAAAAGAGAAAGGTGAAGCATAACTTTTAATAATACGAACAAAAAGTGGTAAGTGAGCTCTACACCAAAAATGGCCACTACGAAATAACAGTACCAACCACAGAATATCAATATAAGGCGATAGCCATTTAAGTCACCTTGGTGATTTAAAGTTATTACCTGAGCCACATGTGTTACTTGGTTAGCTTGAGTTTTCTTATTTTGCACAATAGTCAGTATCTTGATACAATAGATTAAATGACACTGAACACTATACTCATGCCAATACTTTAAAAATAACCATACAAAGTGCCAGAGAAACTGAAATCTCTTACATATATTCAACTATGGGAAGTGATAATATGTAAAATATTGACTGAAAGATCTTCTATTGTATACTATCACTGAGTTAGCCATCTTTTTCAGACCCAGTAAACTTACTGACACAACATCTTAGTGTTAAAAAGAAATTATAAATCACTGTATTTGAGCCTCGTAAACAAAACTAATCTTTTCAATAAAGATATGAGAACACTTAAAACCAGCAAATTGAATCCAAATGCCCAACAAATTCAATATAAAACATTCCTTACTTCATTTGAGATGGATACATTCCAAAACCACCAGGATAATTAGAAAGATGACCATTCATTGTGGCTTTCACTCCTCTGTTCTGAAAAAAAGGAAGGTACATGGATTGAAAGCTGTAAACGCACCAAGTCACTCACACTTCATTATCAAAAGTGATTCATTCAAGAATAATGTGTCACTGCTTGGAATTACTCCAGAAATACAAAGATAAAAAGCTCCACCCCCTAACAGCTCAAGGACCAGAAGTGTAGATGGACATATAAAGATCCAATTGACATTTAACATTCACATACCAAAATCATAAGCAAATTTAGGTGAATAAAGGAAAAATCTACAAGTTAGCTCTAAATCCTCTTAGTGTACAGGCATAATTACACGTCATGACTAAATTCAGTTCAATCTCAGTGTCTTGGGAAGTTTGAACAGTTTCCCAAACAGGTGAAATCTCCCTGAAGAGATAAAATCTCTATCAAGCACTCTTTTAGCACTAAAAATAATTCTTCAGAGGTCTTATCACAGTTATAATTTTTCATTTGTGTAAATTAATTTCTGATGGTTCACTAGGCTGTCAGTTCATAGGAACAGAGACTTTTGTTTGGTGAGTGCTGTACCTGAAGCAATAAAAACAGTACCAGTCATAGCACAATGTTCATTAAATATTTAATCAATGAAAGAAGGGGGAAGTCCATTTCCTACTCTTCGCAAGGAGACAAAATTAAGTCAACAAACACACAGAAAGCAATTCAGCCCCAATGTCCTTGACTCTATTTTAAATCTACTAACAAGTCAATCAAGCCATCCATCCATCCACTACAGGTTCAGAGAAGCAAATAACTTGCTAACTATCATAACTTTTGTAAGGGCTGAAACTTGACCTAGTTCTACAAATATGGATATGATTTATAAATGAATTCAAAATATTCAAGTTTAACTCATGTTTTCCCAATAGCTTTTCTACTTTTGTTCTCAATTGAATAGTAAATTTACAAATTAAGAACAAATATTAGCCACTGCTTTAGATGAGTATAGCATTTATAAAATTACATTTAAATAACACTTTTTTTCTGTTTTTATTACTGTTGTTTGCTTGATTTCCTTCTTCTTTCATACTTTGATATAATCAGTGGTATATACACAGATAAGCTAATTCTCTAGGGAAAATAAGACCCTGATTTGTAATGCTTACAGATTTCCATTATATAAATACCCCTATTATGGCCTGTTTCAAAATTTATTAATGTTTTAGTGTTAGTTTATAAATTTCTCAAATATGTCATGATTGACTTTCACATATCTATAGAGTCCAAGAACATATTCACTACTAAACTCTAGGATCTGGGCCAGGACAGAGGTCCAGATTAGCATTATGATTAGCTAATGGTTAGCACACAGGCATTCACAGAAAAGCCTAGAACTTTAACACTATTTCTGGCACTAACTGTCCCAGGGAAGTCAATTAGGGCTCTGTCTCAATTTTCTGTTCTGCAGCACAGAGATAATTTTTGGTCTTTCTAACTCGTGAGGTTAGCACAAGATCAAAAAAGAGAATAGTGTGAGTTTTTTCCAAAGTGTGATCGGTATTTTGTGTTCTTTCGAAACACACTGGTTCATTCAGTATATAAACTAAAACCCCGAGTTTGTACTGATTTCTATCTGGTTTGCATTAAAACAGCAGCAGGTTTTAATGAAAGTGACAGCAACAGCACTTCATCTTTCTCATGTTTAATTCTTCATGGCAGTCAAATAAATGCATCGTTTGTGTTTTGTTAAATAGCGATCTGCCAGAATAAGAGATCGTTGGAAAAAGGAATAGAAAATGTCGATTTGCTAAACTGAATTTTAAATATAGAAACTTTTCTAGTTGACAATTACAGTTTCCCTTGTCACAGCTGTGCGTGCAACAATGGCGGTTTCAACTACTTAAGTTCAGCAGTTGCAGTAAACACCTTGCAAAGGAAACCATTACAAAAGTCTTTTCCTCTGGGTGTTTATAAGATATCCAATTTATACCTACAAAGTCCAGATAGACAACTTAATAGAACCATGAAGTCTTATTGAAAAGTTAGGTGTTAATAACTCCTAGGCAATACATCTTGAAAGCTGGGGGACCAACATCTTTCTTTTTTCTTTTAAGGTCTTCTTTAATTGGCCTAACTGCTTAATGCTACCAAAAGTATACAGTAAAGCAATTCTTAGAACTTCTAGCAGCAGACTCGGTTGCCCATTGTGGTGTTAACAAAAAAATTTTTAGGTTATTTGTAAGTTAGGACTATGTCTATGTTTAATTCAGAAGTGCTTGTGTGGCTTAACAAGTAGCTAGAGTAAAGTAATTGTTACTAAAATATCAAAGCCAACTAAACAGTTTAACTCAGAGCCCAAATTCAATAACCTGGACCGTTGTCAAGTCATCTATACCCTATGACTGGGGTTTGAGCTTTCACTGCGATTCTTGTTACTATGACAACATTCTCAACACACAGGGAGTTTTGATGTTACACTCAGAAAAATGGCTAATATCTCAGTTCGAAACATTGTTAATATGCTAATTTAAAAAAGAAAAACTGCTACTTATTTACTTTTTACCATATCCATTATCTTCTAAATCTTCAAACATATTTAAGTACTATTTTCTAGCCTCAATTTACAGATGAAGAAATTGAGTTGGAGACATCAGTGCAGTATTTTGAAACTTTTTAAGTCTCACACCATATACCAATAAGCAGTAATGTCCTGTTTCTCAAATGAGATATAAACACAACAGAGAACAAAGGGGTAAAGGACATTCTGAAATTCCCACTTCGCGTGACATTTTACAAACCTCACCTCATTTCATTCATACCATGACCTTTGGAGGCAGTTATCAGCTTTATCTTGAACCTAAGGAGAACAGCCTCTAATGAGGTAAAACCAATACTTCCCTGGGAATTCAAGAAGTTGCAATAAACACAGATCAAACCAGATCTGGCTGACTTGTCCCTTCCCAGTAAATTGCATTGCTAGTTGACCATTATTTACTCTTCAAAAGTTCTCAGTTCTTTTTATTCTTGGTGTTTCAACTAACATCTCTGTTTTAGTCAAAAATGTTTCTTAAAATAAGATACCAAAAATAATAGTTTCTGAAGTAAGACATACTGTGGGAAATGATGTTAGAACGGTAATGGTGCCACTGTGCTACAGAATGGCTCTGCTGCTTCATAAATACACTTTTCACTGAAGAATGTTAGATGAGGTAATCACGTCTGAAAGCCCCACATATTTAAAACTATTTTTAATGGCAATAGTTGGACTGAATCTAGTAACTGTCAATTGTTCCCTGATTAAATGGCTAAGTATTTATTTGTATTACTTTCCTGGGTTACTTTTCATTCATAGTTGGCCCAACTGCTAATTATAAACATGGTGTTTATTTCCTTGAGAGCTTCAGCTCCATGTAAACAGCATGAACCATTCATAAATTTACCTAGATCATTTGCATTTCTTTCATTACACTTAAACACATACTGAATGTTGGGGGTGGGGGCAAGGAAACCTCCAGTTTAGTTAGAATCTCCTCATACCACCACCACCACCAAAACATAGTAGAAAAGGGAATGAAACATGAGAGAAAAAAGTATCTCTACCTCTACTACCAAGACCTCCTGTCCCACTGAGCCATATCTGGAGTTGGTGAAAAGAAGTGGTGGTTGAATCAGCAAGATTCTATTAAATTTTATAACTGATATAGGGACTTCTAACTGAAATTTCCACATATCATTTATGTATAAGTTTTCCTTTATCAAAATGTGTATCTCCCTAACTATATTATTTTCAATACTTACAGTAGACTCAGATAACCTTCAGAATAACTGCTACAATAATGGGCTTTTAAAGAGGTGTGTACTTTGGAAGTTGAAGTTTCTCATTCAAAAGTACCCTGCTGTGTGACTGCTCAGCTACAGTAGGTTTAGATGCCTTGTCCCCACAGCTGCCATCCTTAAAGAGAATATCATTCACCCCACCGTATGCAGATAAGGTATAACTAAAATTGCAGATAAATTCAGGAGTTTCAACCTTTTTCCAATTATCTTTTACACGTTTGAATGATTTCAGACTTACACGAAGGTCATAAAGAGTATGGAAAGTCTCTGTCAATCCTACACCTGATTTCTTAGTGTTAACATCTGACATATACATTAAGTGTATTGCAATGACCCAACACCAGCATTGTATGATAAGCTAAAGTCAATCATTCATTCAGAGCTCCTTACGTGTTCCCATAATGTCCTCTCTGTTCCAGAATCCTGTTCAAAGTCCCACATGACATTCAGTTCCCATGTCTCATTAGGCTCCTTGCTTCCACTACTCCAATACTTACTCACTCCCTGTGTGTGTCACTGACTTCTGCTCAACAAAGACACTAAGTAAATGAGAATGTTAACAAGTATGTATTACTAGATATCCTTTCTCCATAATAGTACCATATATTAAGTACAATTCAACATATTTTACAAGGCAAATATAGAAAGAACTAGCTCTACACTGTCATTAATGAAAACCAAACTCTTGAATTCAAATTCCATGGTGATATATTACATAGCTTCTAAAAATAGTAAATCATAAAACCTTACAGAGAGTAAGAAGAGTCACCTCACAGGTGAGATATACCATGTTAATATTTAACTACGCTGTTGCCAAATGAATACTGTTGTCTATATTATCTAGAGCAAAGAACATTCATCAGTAAACCAAGTATGAAGAGAGTGATTCCCTGTGCATTTTCAGTATAGCTCCTTCAGAAGAGTAATGGACAGAAAATGAACCACATATTTTTAGAAATGGGGACAGCCCGCCATGTGGGAAGTGTCATCTTTAAGCAATGTACCAAATTCATACCACTTTTATAAATCTAACTATGTCCCACTCAAGTCATTACAAGTAAAAGGACAAACTATACTGGACTTTGTTTTAAGTAGTGTAATGTAGTTAAAATAAAGGTGAAATAAAGCTTTCTACTCATTATTATGTACTACTTCAAGCCTACTTCCAACCCAAGCTGCTTCTTAGATAATTTAAAACGAATCTGCTTTCGACTTAATCTCATCTCT